TATTTTTCTTATTTTTCTTATTTTTCTTCTTTTAAAACTCAAATACATCCCAACAACCTGCAGGTTCGGAAATGCTAGTATTTTTTAAACCTTCAGCCTACAGCTTATACAGCGGAATTGCTAATACAAAAATATGAGTGAGAGAGAGAGAGAGAGAGAAGGGGTTGAAATTTTCGTTAGTATGGAAGCTGAGTCCTAAAAAATGATCTTGGACAAAAGTGCTTCCAGCAACAACTAACAGGCGCTTCCCGACAACAAAATTCAGAATTTCGTTATATAGTTGCTGTTGTTCCTCATAAAAAATAAATAGAAAAAAAAATAGACAAAAGAATAACAAAAAATAATTAATTAAAAATAAAAATAAAAAATAAAAAAATGTCACCAAAAGTATAAAAAACTTGAGTTGAGGCATGGATCAACCACTCTCTCACTCGCTGCTCTGGAAAGCCAGCAAGCCATCTCACAAGCACGCAGGGCTTTGAGAGGATGGTAGGCTATGAACACGCAAATCCCTCTCTCTTTTTCTTTAGGACTCACGCCCATTTCTCTTGTGGACGCCGCCTTACATAGTGGGCTAATACCCACCCACTTTTACCTGTACATAACACCAGGATCTTAGATCCAATCTCTTCAGCACTCTTAATGCCCCCTCTTGGGTGACAGGCCTGCGTGACAAGGCCCGGCTGGAATTGATTTTGAAAATAACTTTTAATTAAAATCTCCAACAGTTGCTTCCCAACAACAAAATTTCAGAACTTTGAAAGGTTCCATATAAACCAGAATTGCATGTAACGTACAGAAAGGCTCCAAAAATTTTTCACTGGCTAATAAAAACTCAGCAAAACATATCATGCATGCTGCCATCACCCGTCTTCTCCAAGTCCTCCTGAGAGAGGAGAGTTTTCCTATCGTCGTCCCCAGTCTTATCAAAAGGTTGAGCTATTTTCCTTTGGAACTGCAACCAACAAGGAAAATAGAGATAACGGATTGAACATTTGATAACAATCAATACTACCAACAGTTATTGCACATTTGAAACTTCTGGCATTCTAATCATTCTAGAATTTTAATCCTGTGATCTCCAACTAACCTTCCTTTTCAAAAGTATGTTTCAATAGTTTTATTAGCTGTCACTACAAGGAAACATACTTTTTGTGTGATGGTAAAATTAGTCATAAAAATAAAATTTTTTAGTCATAAATTATATTTGTATCTAAAATTTGGTTGGTCACTGTCCGTTATAAATATTGAATCACTAAAATTAATAGTAACTAATTTTGCATTGATTACAACAAATCATGATTTTAGTGATGATAAAAAAAGACACAATTACTAGCATATTTGTAATGATTTTGTGCGTCACAATGATGATTATTTGTGACAAAAAAATTATACACAAAAAAGAATCTCATTTGTAACCTGTATAACTCGTCCCAGAAGAAATTATTTGTGACATAAAATTTGGTTACTAATACTGATTCATTTGTGACGTTTCCTTTTAATCGCAACTAAAATTATCCATGATTGAAAAAAATGAGACAAATACTACTATGTTAGTCACAATTAGGAGTATTTGTGACGAAAAAAACTTATTACAACTGTTATTATCAATGACGAAACAAAAAGGTCACAAATTGACTTTGTGACATAATTTTTAGTCTTAAAAAAACATACCCCAAAAATAAAAGAAGGGCATTTTTGAAAATTCAATAAACACTAGTATTCAATGATTTTGTTACTAAAATAACAAGTATAAAATAGTCTCTTACAAAATTAGTCACTAGAAATTAAGTATGATAATTGAATAAAAAAATTTCAAATTAAATAATAATTTATTAAATAATTCCAATTAAAATTGTTTTTAAAATAATTAAAAATATAAAATTATATCCAAAATTTTAAACACGTTGAATTTAAAATTTTTTGAAATTCAATTATAAAATAATAATTAAATATTGAAATAAATAAAAATGTATTCAAAATAAAAATATTATTAAATAAAATTAATAATAACTAAGATTTCTTTGTTCCAACTAAAAAATATAAAATTATATCCATAAATTTAAACA